GGTAGTCCCACTCAGGTCCCCCCTGGCCCCCAATACACTAAAGCATACCAGCAAATAAAACAGTAAGAAAAGACAAAGTACAATTAAAGCAAACATACAGTCAATAACACCTTAAAAAAACCTGACAGGAATCTTAAAGAAATCAGTACTCTGACCTGACTTGTGATGGAGCAGCAAAGAAAGAGGAAATGGTTGGCTACGCTGGGACTTATATATCCTCTGTTTTACTCTGATTGGTTCTTTCTTTAATGGTTTTTTTTCTTTGCTGCTATGGAGCTAGTAAAGAAAGTTAATGCAAATACGAAGCCTCCTGTCATGTTATAAAATTGTGAACCTGTAACAAGACCATATTAGTTGGCATGTAATTGCCTGATACGTCGGCCCGTGTTGGCCTAATATAAATTGGGCTGACTTTGAGATGGATAAGCGATGTACGTATCAAGTGATGAACCTTGCAAGGGGAAAATTTAATGGAGAGTGGGATAGGTTGAGAACCGGGAGAGTAGTGATATTGGAGAAGATAGAAATATTAGGAAATTAAAACAATGTCAATGAGAAGTTAAACATATGATGAAAGTATTTACGTGGAACATAAAATGTGTACAGATAATTTTGGCAGTATTGTAAATGTGCTAAAACTGTATTGGAAGTAAACCGATACCACCAACCCTTAAGTGAAAAAAGAACAAAATCTAAACAAAAACCTTATTTTTCAGAAAAAGCCCTAAGTACGGTTGACGTTGAATGTGTATGGTGAACGTATATACCAGTAAAATTAATGTTGTTTAACCGAGTGTATAAGCTCAGGTTTAAGCCTGACATGCTTTCATACAGTCAGTTAAGACACCTAGCCATAATAAAATAAATAGAAATGCGTATGATAAGTCGAAATGGCTAAGAGAGGACCTACTACCATATGTGGAAAGAGACATCACTATCACTGCGATGCTTATGAATGACTGAAATAGGCTGATTACTATAGTGAGCTAAGTTGTTTACAAGATTTTGGCCGCTAGGCATGACCAGCTTGTTTGGGGTATATGCAGTCTGTCCAGCCGAGGCCAGGAAGACGGTGCCTCCATGACTTTAAGCTCGACTGTTACATTTAAGCAAAGCCAGACCTCAGGGCTTTAGGAGTGGCAGGGACAGGGGATTCCACGGGGGACCTGGGATGACAGGGTTAGAGTGTCTATTAAAGATAGAACGCCACCTGGAGCTATTTCTTCTAGCATCCTGTAAGGAAAAATGAGTTAACCATGCAAAACTTTGATGCCAATTGAAATTTCCCTTGTGTAGAGCTGGCTTGCTAACTAGTGCCGAAAGACGAAGATATTAACTACCCAGTGAGAGGTGAGGCACTGCTAGTTGCCAAGTGGCTGGGAGAGGCTCTACCTTTGATTTGGGCCGTGTGGACTCGTAGCTACGATGCGTTGTAGCGGGTGTCGGCCTCTCAGTGATGGTAAATGAGACCGTACATGTGGCCGTTAGATGTGAGGCCCTAGCTAAGACCCTGCAGAAGAATATGCGAGGCACTAACTATGAGTTGGGCGGAACCTCCGTGTTGAGGTGGGGAGTTGACCTCGTGGAACCGGTATGTTCAATATTTATTCGACTAAGGTCAGCTCTTATCCCTAAAATCCAGTTCTCTTACCCTTGGCAGGACTTGTCTATTTGTGGATGCGCGTGAACATAACCGTACATGCTTTAGCAAACTGGATAGAATCAGAGAGAGGAGGACTGGAAAAAGACACCTGATGAAACTAGCGGTTGTGATGTGAACTGAAGAATAGAAGGAAAATACAGTGACTAACAGTAGGGAAAAATGTGTGCTTTTAAGAACGGAACCTAAAAAGCAGGTTTATCTAACCGAACCAAATGTCCATTAATAAGTGCAGGAAAACTGAACAGAAAAGCCTGCACGAATGGAGTGAAATTCAGCACATGCTGAAACGAACAGTGAACCCTGTACCAAGCCCTATGGTTTATAAAACAAACGAACAGTGATATTAGGAGAATGCACAACCGAACGGTTTTAAACAAAAGCTTAAGTGTTAGCATCTAGGTAGGATTTTAACAAATGAACGCATGATTCAACCAACATACAAACGGGACAAGTAAACAAATGTACGGCTTGAAGCAGATGAATGAACAGGATAAGTTAACGAACAGGCTATATGGGAACAAGCGGAAACCTGCGAACGTGTGGAATTTTAAACAAAAGCACACAAATGGTACACGTATATGCGAACGTAATGGGAGCGTTTGGTAGGCCCGAATGTGGGAACACAGCGAACGGGTTCCCATGAGTACATACGTAAGCGTTTGGTAGGCCCGAATGTGGGAACACAGCGAACGGGTTCCCACGAGTACATACGAAAGCGTGCTGGGTCTCGTGACCGGAAGCCGGCATCTGTGATACAGGAGCCAGGTCGAAAGTCCTCAAGGGGGTCGGAGAAGCTGCAGGACAGGTATTTCTGAGCAAAGGCGACACATAGAATTCAAAGTTGAGTTGTGATACAGGGGTTAAAGTGACATGAGTGCAGATAAGACACAGGTTAGACACCACTCTCACAGAGGCCCCTATGTATCTTGTGTAAAGATCACAGACTGAGGAGGGAGAGAGAGAAAAAAACAAGCAAAGAAGAGGAGAGTAAAAAAATAGTTACTTATATTAAGAATGCTTGATTTCCCATCCAAGAGTTACAGGATATGCATGAAGGCCTATATCTAGCATACACAGACACACACCACACACTCACACACATGTACATATACATATATACAAGCAGTGTATATGTACAAGTACATGCAACAATATACATACATACATAAATACAACCAATGCACAAATATATGTACATGCACACCTATACATACATTGACACACAAGCACCAATACATGTACCTACACCTGTACAAATGTGCCTACACATACATAGAGCCATATATGTGTATATGTACACATTCATCTATTCACATATATACACATATAAGCATATTCATACACACACACACACACACACACACACACACAAACACAAATATATATATTTATAAGCATACACATACACACATGAACACATATACATACATACATGCACATGAATTCAAATACACAAATATGAATGCACAGTTGCATATATAAGCATACATGCATAAGAGAATGGTAAAGCATAGTTCTATACATAGTACTTTGTATATTGATATAATAAACATGTCATTGGAGTGCCATTCAAGATGTGGATACATATGACAGAACAGTGAGATAATGTAGGGGGAGTGTTCATGTAAATTGTTGGTAGTGGTACAGAAAACCCAAATCAATATTTAGTCCTCTATTCTTACTGGTAAAAATTGGATCATTCTGGCTTCAAAAGCTTCTATTTCTTGGGTATTTTTAAAACCCCCTTTCAGTACTTTGATTTTTAGGTCCTTGATTGAGTGGTCGGGCTGGGTAAAATGGTGTCCCACCGGAGTGCAGTAGGATTCTTCATTTTGGTGTTTAATAGAGTGTCTGTGCACATTCATTCTGCCATTTGATTGCTGGGTGGTTTCCCCAATGTAGCATCCTAGGTGGCATTTGTTGCATTGAATCATGTATACCACATCGCTGGATGTGCAGGAGTATGATTCTTTAATGTTGTAGGTTTTATTGTTGTGTGTGGCTGTGTTGTCGCTGCATATGTGCTGGCACAGTTTGCAGCGAGGTTTTTGCATTGTCTGGTCTCATTTTCTTTATTCTTCCCATC